GACTTCAATTAATGCTACTCGCAGCAAGGAAGTTTCTGGTGTGGATGCTATTAGATTATGGTATTGGGTTAAATAAACGAACTAGTGATTGATAGAATGATTGAGCAGGTATTTGTATTGACCTAATGCACAGGCTAGCGTGCATCCTGCTATGCCGCCACCTACGATAACAACGTCATATATATTGTGAGGCAAACGAATTTCATCAGAGTGTTGCGTCTCGATTGACGCAGTAACGTCCTTGTGCAAGCTTTTCGCTTTTACAGTCCCTACGGTAAAGCACCGTAAATTGAAATATGGGATTTGAGATAGTCTCCTGGTTGCATTTGGTATAGACAATTTTTTTGCTGTGCTAGGTCGAGGGAAGCTACTATAACGGCGCAAGTTTGTTATAGTTGTCCTACCAGACCAACAGAATCTGCAAAGAGTATTAAGGTACATGGCAGAATTCAACATTACGACACTTTCAAATAACAGTCGATCTGTACGGAATGATGGCCCATTATCAGGTGCAAATGTTTGGCAATTATAGTGCGTTTTGTAAAATAATAATTATACTGCCCATGATATTAATATAATTGTCAAGTCATTCATTCTTGACTATGTGAATGATTTATTTATTGTTGCTGTGAAAAATTGTATTGAGCTTCTCTCGATTGAGTAACCTATATATTATAACGCTGCTACAGGTGGAATAGGCCAATCGTGATTTATAACTTCTCACTGTATGGTTTACGCGAATTATGCGTAGCTTACGCGTAAAACGTGCCATTTCCATTGACGGAAAAAAGTGAAGTAATAGTAAAGATTGTTAAATTTAGTTAAAACAAACTTGTTGAGCCCAATAATCGGTCACGTGTACGTTACTCTTGACACACTAGTTTAAGATCGCATTTTGCGAAACCGTCCGTTCTTCGTTCTTTTCCACCGGCAATGTCATTCCTGAGTCGCAGACTCGCTCGATCGCAGCCGTTTCGCCTAGAAAGGTACGCTTGCATCCGTCGCCAAGCAAGCGATTCACCAGAATATAACGAACCTTCTGGATATTTGTTTGGGGAAAAGGTTCGTTCATGACTAAACAGTAACTCGAGTCATGCTAGTGTCCCGACACTCGATACTCACTTGGATCTATCCTGATAGCCGCTACCAAAGGGGCAGAAACGAATAAAGGAGGACTGGGAAAATCTCTGGGTTATTGGAATGACGGCGTTTTTCGGTCTTGGAGCAATTATCGCTATATATAAACCAAAAACAGGGTAAATTGGCTTTTTGATGAATTATCGTCGTTCGAACAAAACAAAGAGTTTTTCTAATTTCTTATCCGCATGATATAGCGTACAAGACTGGGCACTTGTAGAGGCTCAAAAACGCTTAGAGGAGCGTGGAGTGAATTTGGATTACCCGAAAAGTGGCAAATGAAGAATATAATGGATATTAAATTTGATTTATTTTTCTAACATTCAGAACCGTCTTGTTGAGACATAATCTGCACATACACAATGATAGTTAAAGAACGTTAGAGCTCTCCGAGAGCTATTTATTGTTGCCAAAACTACTAAACTATTGAGAGTTATCCGCATCTTTCGAATGCATAGCGCATTACTGCGGCACATATAATAAATTTTCAGCAAATGGCATGTGACAGCTGACGCAATTTATTTCATATATAGTAACTATTTCATATTTAAACTAACGCCCTGACGTTCAACCTTTTTGTCTAACTTACTACACAACGGCCAACCATGGAGGATATTATGCAAAGGCTTAGGAGCAAGTACGCTAATGGTCCCGCTTTTGTGAGGGCATAACGAGCTATATTCTCCCCTGACATCTTCGATTTGTGACATTATTCATACAGGGACATAACCGTCCAACAGAAGGCCGCCGCTGATCTTCGGTTGTTGGTAATTCGCAACTTTGAATTTCGACATCTCAAATGAAAGAATTTGATCTTCACACTGTTAATGGCGTTATTAGTCCGTCGTTCAATTTCATATGTTAATTCAACATCATTCTTATCGCAACTTGTCCTTAGGTCGAAGGGCAACCGAATATATTAAACGAAGCCAACAAGCCAATATTTGAGATGATGCAAGGAGATACTTCGGACAAAATCGGTGGTATATTGGCAATAGGTATAGTATATATTTGTCATCATCGAAAGATTGATATAAGAAGTCAGAGATGTTTCTTACAACAATCTATCTTATCTATATCACGTGCCAATAATCTACAAATATCACGTGATAATAATGTAGAATATCTGTTCTAACAGAGTATGCTGCTACGTATGTGTCACTTTATAGATGCACTTATAGTTAATAACATTGAGACGACTACCCTCGCACGCTTTACGAGTTATTTAAAGATGGTTCTACCCGGTGTCGATCCACAAATTATGATATTAGCAGCAAAGGCATTAGGTAAGATCTGATCATTACCGAATCAGTAATTTTCAAAAAATACTAAATTTCGCTCAATATTGATTCAAGGGAGGCTGGCTACGCCTGGTGGTCCTGTGACCGCAGTGTTCGTACAGAGTGAAGTAAATATTGCTTTAGAATATCTACAAGGTAACTGCCTGTTGAAAGAAATGATGACCATTACATTCAAGATGTGTCATGATCACTCATATAAAATTCCCATTCACAGTGATTTCTTCATACTTACTACATTTTACTCACCAGGCGATAGACAAGAAAACCGAAGATATGCAGCTGCTCTTGTTCTTCGTGAATTGGCTGCAAATGCGCCGACGCTCATATACACATATGTACCGCAAATATTGGAGGTGATATGGGTTGGATTGCGCGACCCAAAAGCCGCCATACGAGAAGCATCAGCAGAAGCATTAAGTGCATGCTTACAGATTATTCATGAACGTGAGAATAGTCAAAAGCAGCAATGGTATACAAAGATATACGACGAGGCAGGAAGAGGGTTAAAGACAAATAACGCAGATCAAATACATGGATCGCTTTTAGCCTATCGTGAGCTACTCCGTCATGCTCAATCAGTATGTGACTATTCATTTATACCATGTCTTGTTATGTCTTTTATAAGCGATGGCTTGCTAACCGTTGGTCGTGGTTAGTTTATGCAAGAAAAGTATAGAAACGTTGCGGATGCAGTTTTACGCTTCAAAGACAACAAAGATGGCCTTATTCGGCGCACAGTCATATCTTTGATTCCCGATTTGGCAGAATTCAATCCTGCCGATTTCGTTGCTGTTTATCTACACAAGTGCATGGATTATCTGCTTTATCAGCTGAAGAAGGACAGAGATCGATCAATATGTAACATATTTGTATTAATTTCGAGTCAATTTCATAAATCACTCTCGTATTCTTTTAACATGAAATTTCTTGACATTATTTAGCTTTTATTGCGATTGGTCAGGTTGCCTGCGCTGTGAAAAGGGATATGGGACACCATAATTTGGATCAGATTCTCTCAAATATCAAGGAAGGGTTATCAGTCAAGGGGTCAGTTTAGAACCTACTTTAAGAATCGAGTGATTTAATTAAACATTTTTTTAAAGGGATATCTTATTTATTATGTTATATATAGACGCAGTCGTAGTGGCAGTGAAGCAGCAATATTCCAATGTATTGGCATGTTAGCAAGAGCTGTTGGGCCTGCTCTTACCAAACATATGCACGACTTGCTAGAGTCCATGTTTGCATGTGGTTTAAGTGAACCACTGCGACAAGCATTGACAGATTTGGCCACGAATATTCCTCCGTTATTACCAATAATTCAAGGTAAATACTTGCTTTACGAAAATCAATGTTTGCAAATATCTAATCTATCCCTTGCCTTATCTCTTTTCTAGAACGACTGTTGAATACGCTATCGATCATTTTGAGCGGTCAACCTTTCCGCCAGCCGGGCTCTCCCGTATCTGAAAGTCATGAGATAAGAAGACATTTTACGACACAAATCAACGATCTGAAAGATGTCGAACAGACAGTGTTGGCATTGGTTACTCTGGGAAGCTTTAATTTTGAGAGTA